ATAGTAGCATGATTTATTTTTTTTTCTTTATTACTTGAATTTTATTTTGTTAATGTTTTTCTGAAAAATCAGTTTACTGAACATTGAAAGGATTCATATTGTTTATCAACGTTAAGGTCACTAGCTTTGGAGAAGAAATCATAGCAAGTTTGAAGTTTATCTGAGCTACTTCTAAATTACTGAAACATACTTTATTATGATTCTATTGTTGCAAAAGTTGAGTTTTTAGTAAATTAAATTTCACCAATACTCTATTAAAAATAACTCAAAATATAACCATAACAATATCCTATCATGTACTTTTTGAAGGAAGAATATGTAAGTATTTGAAAAGGAAAGTTCAAATTAGAAGTTGTTTAGTTAAATTATATTTCTACCCTGGTGTGGCAAAAGGTTTAGAAATAAAGTGGCATATCAGGAATAAAATCAGCTATTTTGATGCTATTACCTAGTAAAATTTTATGGGGTTGCTGTTTTTAACAGCTGGGGATATTTAAATATTCTATGAATTTTACAGGTGGTTGGAAACAAATACTGTTATGGGATTCTTACAACTATTAACGACATGACGGTACAAATTCTGGTTAGACTTTTGAGAAGAAATTAATATGATACATAGTGATATAGTAGCATGATTTATAATCCTTTGGGTATATACCCAGTAATGGGATGGCTGGGTCAAATGGTATTTCTGGTTCTAGATCCTTGAGGAATCACCACAGTGTCTTCTATAATGGTTGAAATAATTTACACTCCCACCAACTGTGTAAAAGTGTTCCTATTTCTCCACATCATCTCCAGCATCTGTTGTTTCCTGACTTTTTTGAGACAAAGTCTCACTCTGTCACCCAGGCTGGAGCGCAGTGGCCAGATCTCAGCTCACTGCAAGCTCTGCCTCCCGGGTTTACGCCATTCTCCTGCCTCAGCCTCCTGAGTAGCTGGGACTACAAGCGCCCGCCACCTCGCCCGGCTAGTTTTTTGTATTTTTTAGTAGAAACGGGGTTTCACCGTGTTAGCCAGGATGGTCTCCATCTCCTGACCTCGTGATCCGCCCGTCTCGGCCTCCCAAAGTGTTGGGATTACAGGCTCGTTTCCTGACTTTTTAATGATCGCAATTTTAACTGGCATGAGATTATATCTCATTGTGGTTTTGATTTGCGTTTCTCTAATGACCAGTGATGATGAGTTTTTCTTTCCTATGTTTGTTGGCTGTATAAATGTCGTCTTTGAAGAAATGTCTGTTAATATCCTTCGCCCACTTTTGAATGGAGCTGTTTGTTTTTTTCTTGTAAATTTGTTTAAGTTATTATAGGTTCTGGATATTAGCCCTTTGTCAGATGGATAGATTGCAGAAATTTTCTACTATCCTAAAGGTTGCCTGTTCATTTTGATGCTAGTTTCTTTTGGTGTGCCAAAGCTCTTTAGTTTAATTAGGTCCCATTTGTCAATTGTAGCTTTTGTTGCCATTGCTTTTGAGGTTTAGTCATGATATCCTTGCCCATGCCTATGTCCTGAATGGTATTGCCTAGGTTTTCTTTTAGGCTTTTTATGGTTTTAGGTTTTATGCTTAAGTCTTTAATCCATCTGGAGTTAATTTTTGTATAAGGTGTAAAGAAGGGGTCGACTTTCAGTTTTCTGCATATGGCCAGCCAGTTTTCCCAACACCATTTATTAAATAGGGAATTCTTTTCCCATTGCTTTTTTTTTCAGTTTTGTCAAAAATCAGATGGTAATTTTCACATTTCAATGAATTTGTCAATTTTTTCTAAGTTGTCATGTTTATTCACATACATTTTTTAATATTACCTTGTATTTTTAAGTATCTGTAGAATCTGAAATAATGTCACATTAACTCATTTCCAGAGTTAGTAATTGTAGGTTTTTCTTTTCAAGAGCTAGTTTGGCTAGATAGACTTTTGCTTTTATTGATCCTCTCAAAGTGTTTTGTGTTGTTCAATTTTTCTATCATTTTTGTGTTTTGTTAGTTCCATCTCTGATGTTTTAGTTCTCTTTGCCTATTATTTAAAAAATCTATAATTGGGAGCTTATCAAGAACATAGATTGAATTCTCACAATTTTAGAAGCTGCACAGTTCCAGATCAAGGTATCATCAGATTTTATGTCTGAAGAGGTACCACTTCATGATTCATTGATGCATTCTTTCGCCCTGTGTCCTCACATGGCAGAAAGGGTAAAGAGGCTCTCTGGGGTTATTTCTATCAGAGCATTAATCCATTTATGAAGGGTGGCCCTCATGACCTAATTACATCCCAAAACTCCTGCCTCCTAATAACATCACCTCTGTGATTTGATTTTAGCATATGAAAATTGCAAGGACAAAAACATTCAAGCCAATGGAGATATTTACTTTCTCTACTTCCATTGAGTTTACTTTTTTCTTATTTTTTTCTTTAGTTTCTTAAAGTAAAAGTCAAAGTTATTTATTTGAGAGTCTTCTAATGTAGACATTCAGTGCTGAAAATTTTTATTTAAGTGCTGTTGTAGATGCATTTTACACTATCTAACGTGTTGTGTTTTCATTTGAAGTTAGTTCAAAATACTTTCTAATTTTTCTTTTTATTATTTTTGGAACCAACCCAGGGTTGTTTGGATGTTATGTTACTTAATTTCCAATAGTTGAGTTGTTCCAGGTACATTTTTATTATTGATTTTTAATTTGATTGTTTTTGGGTCAAGTAACATGTTTTGTGTGACCTAAATCCTTCTCAATCCTTTCATTAAGATATGATCTAGAATAAGGTCCTTAAGTACTTCTGAAGAATGGTGTTAAGTCTACCACATTCTTGCCGACTTTCTGCCTCCTTATTCTACTACTTGAGTAAGGGTTTGTCCATTTCTTTTGCAGTTCTATCTATTTTTGTATCATGTATTTTGAAGGATTTACGTTATTTTCTACAAAAATATTTAGGACTGTTATGTTTTCTTGATTAAGTGAACCCTTAGTCACTATAAAATGATCTTGTTTATTGCTGGTAATATTTTTGCTATGAAATGTACTTTGGTATTAATACAACCACTCTTCCTCAGCCTTCTTTTGTCACGTGTTAGTGTGGTGTGTCTTGTTTCATCTTTAACCAATTTTTGTCTTTATATTTAAAGTTTATTTCTTATAGGTGTTATACAGGTAGATCTTACTTTTATATCCATTCTGACAATCTGCCTTTGAGCAGAGGTTTTTCGATCAGTTTAATTTATAATGTAATTATTGATATGATAAAAATTATCTGTCACCGTGCTGTTTGATTTCTATTAGTCCCAGATCTTCTTTGCTTTGTTTTACTCTTTTTCTGCTTCCTTCAGACTAGTTTAGTAATTTTTATGATTTAGTTATATATATATGTATAATTTTTTTAGTTATTGATCTAATTTTATATTTCTTTATGATTTAGTCATATCTTTTTGTGGTATAAGTTTATTTGGTTATTAGATATAACTCTTTGCTTTGCTGCCTTAGTGGTTGTTTTAGGATATATAGTGTATGGATTTTCCTCATCACAGCCCACCTTCAAGTAATATTATATCATAACATAGATGGTATAAGAAATTACAATCTTATATTTTCATTTCTTCACTTCCAGCCAGATACCAGCCTGGATCTGTGAGATTGTAGCTTTCATTAAGATTAGAATATATTTAGCCAATTTTTCCTCAAACTTTTTTTCTGTCTCTCCTCCTACTTCTTTAGGGACTTATTTATTATGGGCTGGGAGTTTGCTGATAGTTCTCTAGTGTCTCAAATTTATGAAACTTTTCTTTCTTGGTGGCAAATCAATCTATGCTCATATCTACTCAGCGTAGCTTTCATCTCCAGCATTGTAACTTGTATCTTTACAAGTGCAATTTAGTTTTTTAAAGTATCTTCTATTGCTCTACTTATCTTCTTGATTTTTATTGTAGAATAGAGTTGAGTTACTTATAAACAGCTTGATCCTTTTTATTTTTTCTTTTTATGGTATGAACTAACTCCCCACACCTGAGGCAAGACCTTTCAGACTATTCATTTTCCTGGGAAGTCTGAGTCTTCCCAGGCAAATCTATAAAAATAGGCACTCTTCTTGGTACTATGTAAGCACAGGTGTGATTTTCACTAATTTTATAAGTCCCCCTGACCTGGCTTGGTCTTAGGTAGTTTTCTGGCTCACATGCAATCTTTATTATTTTGCTAAATACTGGGAGGGGATTTCCAGGGGTTTCTTGCTTTCGCTTCTGTATCTCTCTCTCCTCCTCAGTGTTCTGTTCGGTGTTGTCTGTCTCCTTTGGTTTTACCAGACTCTAAGCTTCAGCAATGTAACCAAGAGAGTCTGGTAGGTTCCACTTCAGTTTTTTTTTTTCCTGTGTCATGTCTTGGAATCTCTGTCAAGGCAGGAAGCTGAAACATTCATGAGGTTTGCTTTCCATTTTCTTTTTCTGTTTTTCAGGGATTATCATCTTCTTTGCCTAATGTCCACTGTCTAAAAAATTGTTTAGTATATTTTGTGTGTTTTATTTTTAATTATTTTAGCTAAGAAGAAAAATCACCTGTTCTCGTGTGGCTAGAGGCAGACTACATTAGAGCTTCAGCACATGCCACACAATGGCTAAAATGCTTTCCTTCCCCGCTTGCTCAACTACATCCTTTTCAGGCTTCGTTCCTCAGTGTAGCCATACATTCCTCAGGGGATTTTCCCATGGGCCTAGTATAGATCTTATTCTAAGCAATCTGTTTTCTTACAGTATCTATCTGAATTTATAATTGTAACTTTTCTGGGGCTTTGCTTTTTATTTTATATTTTATGTTTTAAGCTAAACAAGAGCAGAGTTTTGTTTTGTTTTGTTTTGTTTTTTTCTGTTCAATCTGCAGAACTTAGTATAATGCCTTCCCCATGGTAGGCAATCAATATAAATGTGTTCAGTGGATGAGTTAGTGATTGTTAAAATATGCAGCCCTTTATATCCCAAAAGTACTAATATATTTTATTTCTATCTCCTCCTTGAGACAGATTCAAGTAGCCTATCAAAAATCTTGGATGCAGTTCCTTCTTCTGAAAGAGCACGGAAACTTAAAAAAGATCACTGTGAACAACTTACAACAAAACTGAAACAAATGAAAAATGAGTTTTGTGTACTACAAAAGGAACTATCAGAAGCAAAAGAAATAAAATCACAGTTAGAGAACCAAAAAGTTAAATGGGAACAAGAGCTCTGCAGTGTGAGGTATGACATCCTAGTTTTAAATAAATATTTCAACTATTTATACTAAAGGTATGTAGGATACTTTTTGTAAAAGCTGTCTTACCTTCTGAGGTTTAACTGGAGAGAAAAATCTCTGTCTTGTAGAATGTCAAATTCTTTTAAATAATACAAGTTCTTAACTGTGAATACTTCTGCTGATAATTAAAGGCATATTTATTTAAATCACAACTTCAATGGCTATATAGAAGGCCATTATTTGGAAATCCCATTACTTACTTAACAAATTATTATTTTTGATTTTTCATTTTTTATACTATAAGTGCTGCAATGCATAACTGCATATAAATCTTTTTTATCCTTTCTAATTATTGACTTGGAATAAATCCTTCAATATAAAAATATCTGTGGGGGGGGGAGCACGCCAAAGATGGCCGAATAGGAACAACTCCAGCCTCCAGTTCCCAGTGTGAGTGACACAGAAGACAGGTGATTTCTGCATTTTCAACTGAGGTACCAGGTTCATCTTACTGGGTCGTGTCGGACACTTGACGCTGGTTTGTGGGTGCAGCGTGACCATCCAGAGCTGAAGCAGAGCAATGCGTCACCTCAACTGGGAAGCACAAGGGGAAAGGAAATTTCTTTTCCTAGCCAAAGGAAATCGAGACACACAACACCTGGAAAATTGGGTAACTCCCACCCTAATACTGCGCTTTACTAAGGGTCTTAGTAAATGGCACACCAGGAGATTATATCCTACACCTGGCCCAGAGGGTCCCACTGCCACGGAGCCTCCCTCATTGCTAGCACAACAGTCTGAGATCTAACTGCAGGGTGGCAGCAAGGCTGTGGGAGGGGTGCCCACCATTCTTCAGGCTTAAGTAGGTAAATAAAGCCACCAGGAAGCTGGAATTGGGTGGAGCCCACCACAGCTCAAGGAGGCTGGCCTGCCTCTGTAGACTCCTCCTCTGGGGACAGGGCATAGCTAAACAAAAAGCA